ATAATAATAATAATAATAATAATAATAATAATAATAAGTGAGTAGAAAGTGTGGAGGATGCAGTACGGATGGAAGAAATTATAAATGGACACATAATTATGTCGGAATTTGAAAGGAAAATGTCGTTTGGGAGTAAGCCTACTATGCATAGATGGACGGATAATAATAAAATGAATCTTGAAGGAATATGATATGAGGGTATATATTGGCTGTATCTAACCCAGGATAACTACCAGAAGCAGGATCCTGTGAACTCGTTAATGAACTTTCGGGTGCTGTCAAGTGCCCGAAATGCATTTATCAGCTGAGCGACTATTAGCTTCTCAAGACGGATTCTGCTTCGTGGAGTTAGATATATGTCTTCTATATGTGCAGGACTGTTTAATACCATGTCATCATGAGATAAACTACGCCTACACGAGAAATTTTCATCGGGGTTAAGACAGTTGGAGCTTGAAGGTGATTTTCACTTCCGTCTAGTGCCGGCGTTTACTATGCGTTGGGTTTTACGGCAGCGCTCCTATGTCTTGATGAACAGAAACAGAGGCAGTTTCTTTTTTGCTTGGACTGTTAATTGTAACCGAGATGTGTGGTTACTAGGCAGAGAGGCTGACTCTTGTGTCTCTCTTTCAGTCAAACAATGACGAAGAGCTGAGTGAGGCGGAGTTGCAAGATGAGGACAGCGAGGACGCTCTCTCTAGACTTCCGGTGGAGGACGTGGGCGACCCGGAGGTTCTAGCCAAGCTCAAGCAGCAGGTCTGTACCCATCATCATTATCAACACGGAATAGGTTCGGTTCCAGGTTATATCTGATTCTTATTTTTCAGAAAACGTTGGAAAAACTGCATAATGAGGATCCTCATAACTTGTACTCTTTACCAAGTATGATTAGAATGATCAAGTCAAGGAGGATGAGATGTGCAGGGCATGTAGCATGAATGGATAGAACAGGAATGCATGCAGGATATTGGTGGGAAAGCCTGAAGGAAAGAGGCCTCTAGGACAGACCGAGACGTAAGTGGGTGGATAATATTGAAATGAATGTTAAAGTGATAGGATAGTAGTATGGACTGGATTGATCTGGCTTAGGATAGGGATCGGTGGCGGGGTCTTGTGAACACGGTAATGTATCTTGTGGTTCCATAAAATGCTGGGAAGTTCTTGAGTATCTCTACAACTGGCGATTTCTCGAGAATGACACAACTCCATGAAGATAGTTCTGTGTCCTTGGGTAGAAGTTCAAGCCATCACAATACTACATAGGGAGTTGCAGTCAAATACGGGCAAATATTCATGAACTGAGCGGGATTCGAATAAGCGATCCCAGTGTTAGAGCAGCCAGAACTTTGCAGACACTAGATTCGGTTCAGTAGGAATTCCTTTGGGTATTTGTTAAATGAAGGGAATTCCGAAAAATATGCTTAGCATAACAATTATGACGCTATCGGTGCTTTTGTGTAATTATCTAAAAAGCATAACCTAAGAAAAGGTGAGATGAACATGAAATGTATTTCATTTTCTTTCACAACTTTTGTTCCTATATACGCGCGAGTTACGGTCGAGCTGCGGAGGTTTTTATTTGTTAAGTGTGCGTTATGGTGACCGCCTCTGTGGTTCAGTTGTCAGAGTTCCTGGGTACAGTTCCAGAGGTCCGGGTTTGATTCCCGGCGCTGCCAGATTTTCTGAGAAGTAGTGGGTCTCGAACGGGGTCCACTTAGCCTCGTGAAGATAATTGAGGAGTGATTTTAAGGAAATAGCAGCTCTAGAAAACCGAAATTAACGGCCGTGAGGATTCATTGCGCTGACCACGCGACACTCTCTATCCCATAAAGTTGGCACTAACTTCGCCGACAAGCGGCGGTCGCTCGGTCGGTATAGTTCGCTCGCGGACCAAAGCCACGGAGTTTTGTTTGAAATGTCCATTATGAGTATTTTCCCGGATTTTAATAATAATTTGAATGGGTGACATTCGTTCAGCGCTATTCGTTGTGTCCTCCGGACACACAGAGCTGGGCAGAATACTGCGAAGCAAATAGATATATATGTGTTGCAATTTGCCGCCAAAAGTGAAGTCATTTTGGGTGGCATTTTCGTATGTGCTCTTGGAATGTAAAATTAAGAACTTGCCCACTCTTTATAAGATTATTTCTGCAGTTAAAATTCAGTTAGTATTTTTCAGGTGCATTTCAAGGCTAACTCTGATCTGTTAGTATGAAATAAATTCATCAACTCCTTTTGTTAGGGACATGACATTATATGCTGCAGTTACGTTAATATTTTTTCAAATGTTCATATGCATTCTAACTTTAAACCATGTTATGGTCTTCATTTTTGTGAGAAACCGATATTAGTCAACACCTCGACAATGATCAACGCGGATTTTAAGTTCGGGAGAAATATTTGATTGTGCTTCGTAACAGGCGGGGATAGTGCAGTCGGTATAGCGACTGGCAATGGGCTGGACGACTGAGGGGTCGGAGCTCCGAGTTCCGATAGGGTCAAATATTTTCTCTTCTCGACGTCGTTCAGACCGGCTCTTGGACCCACCCAGCTTCCTGTCCAGTGGGTATCTGGGACAATTTCCCTTGTATTAAAACGGCCCGGGCTTGAAACTGATCACTCACCTCCAACTAGTGCAGAGGTCAAGAAAATGTGGATCTATACATCTTTCCCCCATACATCTTCATAGTTCAGTGCTTAATTAATTAAGTACATGGGCAGCTTTACCTTTTCCTTTGTAGCAGTTGTGAGTCGTGGCACTAAGTAAAGACAAAATGTCATGTAAACCTAACTGTGGATATTAGAGCGAGCGATAAGTTGCCGAAATGATCGAAAAGTCCTACACTTCGAAAGGGAATTGCCTCTCTATGAAGTGACATCACACCACATACTATCCGAACCTATGTATATGGCTGCCAGACACGTTGACGTTGTGAGCCACCGTGATTCTCAGACTTATTTAGCATATCTTGTCACGGTTTTGCCATAAATTCAGTACTGCTAATGAGTTCAAACTTATTGTGCATAGGCCTGCACTATTAAACGGACAGGGTGTGTAAGTCCGAAGGAGACGAGATTAGCATGTACAGCTTATTTCACAGTACAAGTATAAAAGTTTCCATGCGTTTCCTTTTTGTTTTACAGCCTCTACTTTTGGGGAAATCTATGGTCTAATAATATCTTCATTACATTTGTCATTCTACCGCGAATGTTTGTATTTTACAATAAATAAAGAGTTTTGCTCTTAAATTTTTTTGCATTCCGTTCATTTCCAATAGGCTAGATGACACCGAAGGTAGACAAAGCAATACTTCCCCATGCTTTAATAAGGACCCCAAAGGTAAAATGTAAAAGTTAACTCTGTAACAGGCCGTGGAGGCCCATAGGGTTGTGAGACGTCAATGTTCCCTCTCGGCTCACAGATGGCAGTAAAGTTGTCAGCTTTATTCATCGGCCGGCCACCCTTTACCCTAAGAAGGATATTGGTACTCACTTCCGTTAAAGGCTGAATAGTCCCCAGGATCATAGTGCGGCTAGGAATATGGGAACAATTGCAATATCCAATAACTTCTTAGGGAATCGAATCCGAGACCCTCTGGCTTGTAGCACGATGCCTCAAGCAAATACACTTCCCCATGCCCCCTTATAAGCACCGTGACATAAAGATGTACCGGAGAATGAATATAATTTTTTTTTCCATTGACACTAAAGCCCCAGTGGGCCTAGGCCTACCTCCATGAACTTCTCCGTTCACTTCGGTTTTACTAGATCTGAGACATACGATAGGACTCCTTGGGCGGGTGATCAGCTCGTGGCAAGGCCTCTACCTGTACACAAACACAGAAAAACGCACACAAACATCCATGCCCTCAGTGGAATTCGAACCCACGATCCCGGCTTGGGAGCGAGCGAAGACAGTACATGTCTTAGACCGCTCGGCTACCGTGACCGGCGAATGAATGTATACGTGTATGTATTCTTAACTTGTGCAGATGACCCGTTCGTTTTGCCCCCTATTAAAGAGTCCCGGTATTCAATGAANCGGTGGTATGACTCACGGCAAATTGCAGCCGCGGCGCGCACTTGATTGTACGCACTGTAGAACTCCGATTCATTCTTCAACCAACACCGTAGCCTAATCTTTATATAGTGAATTTCCCAAACTTCTGATACAAATATATGTAAGCTGCAGACTCCTACCACCACAGAATAAAACAACTACTATGTGACACCGTGTAATTTTGTTGCGTAGCTGTTAAGATGTGACCAATATAGGAAGTGGCGAGCCCACGATGGTTCCGTGTGTAAGAAGACTTCAGCGCGTACCGTTCTTTCTTTTGCATTGTTAATTTTGAGAAACTGTATTGCATGTAGTTACGCGTAATTTAGTGTCAAATGGAAACTAGTAATTTATATTGTAGCGTGTGACCGCCTCTATGGTCTAGTGGTCAGAGTTCCCGGCTACAGATCCAGAGGTCCCGGGTTCGAATCCCAGCGCTACCAGATTTTCTGACAAGTAGTGTGTCTCTAACGGGGTCCACTCAGCCTCGTGAGGATAACTGGGGAGATATTTCAAGGAAATAGCGGCTTCGGTCTAGAAAACCGAAATCTATGGCCGTGGAGACCACGGGACACCCACCATCCGCTAAAGTTGGCACTAACTTAGCCGAGAAGCGGAGGTCGCACAGTCGGTATAGTTCGCTTGCTGACTACATGTCACGGAGTTTGTTTATTTGATATTGTAGCGTGTAAGACCTGTTACTAGTTATCTACAGCGAAACGAACAAGTTCCTACGACAACGAGTTGACGGAGAACGATAAAGGAACTGTTGGAAACGGTGCTTTCTCCGAGGTCCGTGCTAAGGTGTTATAAATAGAAAAACTGGAGCAAGAGTTCAGAGTTGTGTTATAATCGCCGGACAGCTAGGAAGTAAGCGCGGAAGCTGAAGAATCTCCACGCTAGAAACCGTAAACATGGAACAACTGCTGAAGACTGAGTAGACTGAAAAGACCTAGCATGTTTATAGTGATTTGCAAAGAGATGATTAAATATAATTAAATATAATCACTAGTAGTGTGTTAACGTGGTCAATAAATCCAATCCAAACCCACTTGTAGTCGTGTTCATACACATGACGATATTGTCTTATTTTGCTTGCTTTTCGCCCTACATAGTTCGCTGTTTTTCAGATATCTATACATTTCTAGATTATGAGATATTTAAATCTGAAGTAACTAATAGTTTAAAAGTATCTTAATGTTACCTTCATCAATTATTTATTGATATATTTCTAGATTATGAAATATTTATATCTGAGGTAACTAATAGTTTAAAAATATATCAAAAGTTGCTTTTAATAATTAGTTATTGTAAATATTAAATATTTTATTTGAAAATTTTTGTTGAAGTAAAACAGTTCCTCTAACAATATGATTTTGTGTATTCTAAATTTGGTTTGTTATTTATACTTCTCCATATAGTAAAGGTCAAAACGACAAGATATTTACGGATGAATTTTTAAGTGTTTGCATGAGACGCAGCTATCTTTCGATTGTTTCAGGAGCGAGAGGAACGCGAGGAGATCGAGAGGGAATTGAAGGCTCACGCCCAGTCACAATCGCACCTTCAGGCTCCATCCCCCAGACACAGCCCGCGGGAACAGCCTGCCACCCCGTCTCCCAACGTCATGATTCCACCCCCAGCCTTCTCCTTGCCACTGCCGTTTCCTTTTCCACACCCATCGGCCGCCTTCCTGCCTCCCATAAGCGCTGCCTCCGCAGCGCCTCCCATCTCGGCCCCAACGCCCAGTTTCCCGCCGCCCTCGACAGCCGGCGCAACCCTTCAGAACTCCATCTCCTCGGGGTCGTCACACTCCTCCGAGTCATCCTCGTCCTCGCAGCAGACGTGGAGCTTCGAAGAGCAGTTCAAACAGGTGCGTCAGGCAAGTGACGTTCCTTCATTGTCCCTACTAGCAGTAGTTAGGAACCAGAGAGAATCTCCTAGGTTCACAGCTGTGCATGGGCATGCATGAAGCGTACCTTCCTTGTTATCCCGGGCTAGCATAGACGTCATTGTTTCGCCCGGGAAAGCCCGGTCCGTAACTTCCGCATCTACTTCTTTGTTATTCTGATGAGATCAGTGTTGTCAGCGAATAAGTGTACAGACTCTGCAAAGTAGTAGTAGTGCTAAGTTTCTCTCAATCCTCATGAATTAAGACAATGATTCTCCACTTCATGTTTCTCGCTTTCCACCGGACATTTTGTCAAAAAACTGTATTAAAACAAAGATTCCCCTTTTCTTAGGAGTGTATTTTTTTTACAAATATTTATTTTAGTACAAATATATAGCAGTCCCTGTACTTAACTAATTAAACCCTAGGTCTTGAAGACGTATGAGGGAGTTGATGTATAGATCCACTCTTTCTTGAACTTGCTACTGGTTGGTGAGTCGTCAGCTTCACGCCCCGATCGCTCTACCCCCCCGGAAAAGAGCCTCACGTACCCATTGGCTAGGAGATTGGGTGGACCCCAGAGGCGGTCTGAAAGACGTGGAGAAGAAAAAATTTTAACCCTACTGGGACTCGAACTCAGACCCCTCCGTCGCCCAGTCCGTATCCAGTCGCTCCAACTACTACGCTATTCTTGCTCCTTGTATTACAACACAACAAAATTGCAATTTTATAAACAAAAGAAAACGAAGTCACAGAATATCTGCCACTGAACTTGTGGCCTCTGTTTTGAGTCTGTCCCGCTTGGAGATTCAGGTTGTATTTTGGTGTCGTAACCTTTTAAGAAATTATGTATTAATAGCAATGCTGCTAGTGTAGGTAGGTTCCAATCTTCTGAACTGAATGACAGTAGAATCTGAGTAGACCTAATGTATTCCACGGCGCGCAACCTAGTGAATCGTAGTATATGAAGGTAAAGCTATCCCTGTGAACTACGCCATGAAGGCTTATAGGGAAGTGGATATATATATCCATGTATTCCTGACCTTGGCACTAGGAGTAGATGGTCAGCTTCACGTCCTGGTTGCTTTATCGTCGGTACTTATGGGATAGGTGGCTTGGTGAGCTCCAGAACCGGTCTGGACCACGTGGAGAAGAGAAGAATTTCGTCCGTACCGGGACTTGAACTCCTACCCCTCGACAGTCCAGTCGTGGTCACTCGCTATACCGACTGCGCTATCCCGAAAAGAAGCATAAATTACTCGTTCGATAATAAGAAAGGTCCGAGGGTGCGTTACAATCCTGTTGTTACTTTGACACAGATATCCAAAACGAAAAGGGCTACCTGATATCGTGTTCCTGAATGCAATTTGCTAGACCAGTTGAGACATTTGTCATAACGATACATCACGTGCTTGATTCCGGCGGAGAATATATAAGGGTTGAGTGTTTTCTGTCCCTAACGCAACCCGGTTTTCATTTCATTGTGATGTCATAAGTGCTTTTAATGATACAAAGAAGTGGAAATTTCCAGGCGCAAGGTACGGGCAGAGTCGTGAACGGTGAATACATTCCCAGAAAGATGTCAGAGCTTTATTTACAGTATTTTGGGATACACAGAGCAATCTTCATTAAACTGGTATATGCTAGGGGACCGTTAGGCAAATACAATGGATTTGAGAGGTTGGGCAAAATGTTGGAAATACTGTCAGGTATAGGGTGACCTATAAGACGGATTTTGAATTACTGCGCCTTATACATTCACACAGCTCAGGACTTCAGACATTACAGCGCTATTCTATACACTTTACAGTTCGCCGCTGCACACGCACTAGCCGTATCCTGGCAACGGATTTATCAGTCTCATTGTAACTTCAAATACACATGAAGTCTTCTTTGCACTCCTAATTCCTTTCTTGCAGTTTCTTCTCAGTTACCTTCGACTGCCGTCTCCAGAACTCGACCCAATTTTCATCCGACTACTATTCAGTACTCTTTCGTGTCTAAATCGAAGTCAAAGTTGTAGTACGACAGACGGTCAGTCGGCCAGTCTGTCTTTGTGTCAAGCACCCATTTGGGACATAAGACCAGATTTGTTTCTGTCTGATATCTGCCTGTTTCTTGATGTGTGGCGCCTTCTCTGACGAGAGTACTGGTCTGTCTTTTACAATGTACCGTCGTGTCTTCTATGCCAATTTATAACCCCTCGGCACGAACTACGCAGAAAATAGCCTATATTGTTAAGCAGGCGGCTTTGCTGGTCGTTGCCGAGCAATGGACTTTCTATTGTCGCATGCTTGTGCTTCGCGGGCATGTGTTTACCAAGATGTTGCCTAGCAATTGATATACACGTCACAATAGCTTACGCGAAAAGCACTCTTCTCTATTGTATCGAGTATGTTACAATAGGAACACTGTGTCGACAACGGACATTCTATTCGGGAATTAGTTAGACACTTATACACTAAAAGAAACAGAAATTTGAGAATGAAATATGATTACATTTGAATGGTGAGTGCCTATATTTGTTACTGATTATAAATTTTCCAGTCAGAATGAACTAGCACTGGATGCTTACTGCGTTTCTTCTGTCTGTTCTATTGTAAGACCGAATATCCTTTATGATAAGTTGCAAAGGGAACGTGCCTCGCCTTGTCCAAGCACTGCTTCATATTTTGGAGATACTGGGTCAGAATCTCCACTCTGATTAATATGTCGCTCTTGACAAATGCTAGAAAACTTCGTTAAAATAGAACATGTCCTTTCCCTCAATTATATCTTACACCGTTTGACGGAGTCAGATTTTGCAGATTACGTAATGTCACTCACACTTTGAAGTATAATATTAGTGTGAATAATATTTCATAATTAGTTTCTACCTCACAGAAAACACAATGAGCCGAATTGTCAGGGCCAACAGTTCAACACTCTTTACAGGAAAAGTAGCTTTATATTGTAAGACTCTTATAAAACGCATAACTACACTCTACATACTCCGTGGCTTGAGTCTGCAAGCGAACTCTGTGGTCTAGTGGTCAGAGTTCATGCCTACAGATCCAGAGTTCCAGGTTCGATTCCCGGTGCTACCAGATTTTCTGAGAAGTAGTGGGTCTGGAACGGGTCCACTCTGCATCGTGAGGATAATTGAGGAGCTATTTCAAGGAAATAGCTACCCCGGTCTAGAAAACCAAAATTAACAGCCGTGGGGATTCGTTGCGCTGACCACGCGATATCTCTATCCGCTAAATTTGGCACTAACTTGGCTGACAAGTGGCGGTCGCTCGGCCGGCATAGTTCGCTTGCGGTATACAGGCCACAGAGTTTGTTTTGTGTTGGGGGGAAAAAGTGGCTTCATATTGCAAGTCTCTTATAAAACGCATAACTATACTCTAGACAAAATACAGTCTTTGAATGTTATTTAAGCAGCGTTGCACGTAGCAGACACCGTGCTTTAATGTCGTAAATTAATTAAGACGCTGAGAGAAATAAACTTGTTGTTCATCTGATTGTGTAGTGAATTGTATATTTTCTTAATATCCTCTAAAGTAAATGGGTTTAGTGCTTCATAATACCAGTATTAACTTAGGGCGTTGCCCAGTGGCAAGATGTACCTACGTGACGTTTCGGAGAGTGGCTCTGTCTCCGCCTCCCAAGTATGAAACTTATTTCTGTGTGAAGAACAAAGCAGGGCAGAACCAACGTCCGAAACGTCAGACAATGGAAGCTGTAGGTAGTTTGTGCATGATGTTCAAATTGCTTGTCTTAATCCATTTAAAGGAATTATTACCAACATTACGGGGAGTACAATAGGTTATGGCGTCTCACGCATTTAGTGTATTATTAAACAACACTTAATATACCTGTAAAATACATGTTACCATTTGCCGGATGGACGAAATTATGTTCTTTTTCTTGTTCTTTTTTTTACAACATAAATGCAATAACGGTATAAGGGAATTAAAGTTGGTGTAAGAAACTTACATCTGTCTTTAATTGGATAATGGAAATGAATTCGTACATCGATGTGTTAATGCACTGCTCCACTTTTTCTTTCCTAAAAATTAGTATCAGTAGTGAATGACGACCCAAGCGGTCATGTAGATCCTGGTGTTTAGTCCTTAGCTAACAACTACACAAAACGCTTCAACTGGTACTTACACTAATGGCGGGCTGGCACTCTGGAAGCAGGCCCAATCCAACGAAATGAATGCAGTTATTAGCATGAGTGAAGTGAAACCAGGATGGAGTGATTCTTGTGTTGAGTCTGATAGCAGAAAGATAAGAAAGAAAGTGAGGCTAGTGGTCGCCGGCTTCTTACTAGAGTATCTCTTTTTCAATCCCACTGTACGTCATGTTGGTTTTGTGGTGGATCAAGCGACACTGGGGTAGGCTTTTACCCTAACACTTCGGTTATTATACCAATGCTCCGTACTTGTCTGCCATCCGTATTTGAAGCTGTAGTCTCAGGCAGCCCCTTCAGTTCGATTGAAGGACCTGCCTCTAGAGGCCGCTTTTACTGAGGACAAACTTCTTTTTAAACCCTTGTATCTATCCATAAAACTGTCAATTTGTCATTGTATTTAATTATATAAGCACTACGTCTTGACATATGGGGGAGTGAAGGTATAGCCCCACCGTTTCTTATTTCGGCACTAAATTAAGGTGAGTGGTCAGTTTCACCCACTACCGCTTTACCTGAGGGGAAAGAGCCTTCGATACTCATTAGATAAGAGGGTAGATGGGCCCCAGAACAAGCCTTGACGTTGCAGAGTAGAGAAAATCTCTTGCCCCTACCAAGAATCCAACCCCGGCCGCCTAGTACGTATCCCGGCAGTATCTGTCCATACCATGATCGAATTACGACAAAATGTTTTAGATATTGACTGCTTTATTATGCCGTTCTTTATGCTGAACTTAGGTACGTCTGTCAAAAGTCCTGATTATAGAGAGAAAATGGCGTCACTTCACAGTCAGAAACAGAAGTA